GACCAGATGGCCACATCCCCGTACCCAGAGGCGATCAAAGAGGAGGAAGGGTCCGTGGAGGGCCGGAATGTTCCAATGCCGGATGTGACTCTAGAGGAGGAGCTCGCCGAATCCCTCATGCCGCTCAAGTGGGTGTTCTTCCCCGAGGCAGACCCCATTCAGCAGTTCGTGGAAAGCCGTGGCGGGAGAAGATCTGGGTGTTCCTCAAGGGCGTGTTCCCGATCCTGGAGTGGCTGCCCAAGTACGACCTGTGGTACTACCTGCTGGGTGACATCATCGGGGGGGTGTCCATCGCTATAATGTCCGTGCCTCAGGTGAGCCGTTCACTGTGATCCGGTGTGTTGCCTTGCTGTGCCTTGGCATTGCATTGCCGTGCATTGCCTTGCCGTGTGGTGCATAGCGTGTTGTGCCTTGGCACTTGCATCTCCTTGTGTGCCAATGCGGGACCTGCTGTACTACCTGCTAGCCGACATCATCGGGGGGTGTCCATCGCTATAATGTTCGTGCCTCAGGTGAGCCCCGCATTGCGCTCCCCGCGTTGCCCCGCATTGCATTGCCTGGCATTGCCTTACCGCGTGGTGTGTGACATGTTCTGGACGTGCATCTCCTTGTGCCAGTGCGGGTCCACGTTTCTTCCTGCTGGTTCTTTCCTGTCCGTGCCTCAGGTGAGCCTCGCATCGCTGCATCGCTGCATTGCAGTGTGTGTGTTGTCGGGCACCACCTCCCTACGCCAAGGAGGAGGGACCCCGGACCTGCATTTGTCATTTTCTCGGTCTCCTCTCCTCGGTGCATTCTCCCCACCCACATGGTCACATCCTGCCTCTCCTAGCCATCCTCCCTGCCGAGTCCGCTCACCGTGACGTGTCTCCCTCTCTCTTGCCTCAGAAGCCAACCTAGCCACGTCTGTGTGTCCCTCTGTGCGTGTATCTAACTCTGACTCTGTGCCTCTCCCGCCCTCCCAGGACATCTCATACACCAATTACGCCAACCTCCCTGCCGAGTCTGCTCGCCCTGCCGAGTTTGCTCGCCCTGACAGCATCTGTCCGTCTCTCCCCACCAACCTTGCTCTGTTTGTGCGTGTCTCTGTGTGGCTCCCGCCCTGCCAGGACCTCTAGTGAGCAAGTACGCCAACCTCCCTCTCTCGCCCCGCCAACCTAGCCCGGCCAACCTAGCGCCCCGCTTGTGTGTCCCTCTGTGTGTGTGTCTACCTCCCCCTCGCCCTCTCGCGCCATCCCAGGACGTGTCATACGCCAAGTACGCCAACCTCCCTGCCGATTTTGCTCTCCGTGAATGCCTCCATTGCCCCACCTTCCTTCTCCCCCCCTGCATCGTCACATCTCCCCCCTGCATAGTCACATCTCCCCCTGCATCGTCACATCTCCCCCCTGCATCGTCACATCTCCCCCCTGCCCGTCACATCTCCCCCCATCGTCACATCTCCCCCTTGCATCGTCACATCTCCCCCTTGCATCGTCACATCTCCCCCCTGCATCGTCACATCTCCCTCCCCATCCTTCTCCTTGCATTCCCTCCCTCCCTCACACCCCGCATGCGTTGGCGCTACCTCACGTACCATTCCCTCCCTTCGTACCAAGAAGCACAAATACTGCTTTTGAGTTGACTCAAAATTTGACGCTACCTCACGTACCATTCCCTCCCGTCGTACCAAGAAGCACAAATCCCCTATCCTGCCTCTTTCCAAAAACCCCCCACCCAACCCGCCCCCTCCCCCCCAGGCACCAGTTTCATCCCGCCTCTGCTGTACGCGATACAGGGGCTCCTCCAAGCACCTCGTGATCGCCCCTCGTGTCCGTCGTGTCTCAGCTGCTGGGCATCACCCTCAGCGCCATAGTGGACCCCAACGCCGACCCTGCTCTCCCTTCTTCTCCCCTCTCCCCCCGTTTCCTGCTCCTCCCCCCCAGGCAGCAGTTTCATCCCGCCTCTGCTGTACCGCGATACAGGGCTCCTCCAAGCACTTCATGATCGCCCCTGTGTCCGTCGTGTCTCAGCTGCTGGGCATCACCCTCAGCGCCATAGTGGACCCCAACGCCGACCCTGCTCTCCCCTCTTCCCGTCGCACAAGCCCGTGTGGGTGCAGAGGGTCGAGGCTCTGGAGGCCGAGGGAATCACAGTGAGCGAGGAGGAGCAAGCTGCAGAGATGATGATGACTGATTTGTGATTGTGATTGAAGAGAAGTGATTATGCTGTCTGGCATGTTGATGCTTTGTAGGCGGGGGCTCTGGAGGCCAAGGGGGTTGCTGTGAGAGAGGAGCAAGCCGCACAGATGACGCTGATTATGATGGTGCTGATGGTGATAATGATGGCGGTGGGTGACATCTGATGCTGATGGCGCCTGTAATGTGCTGGTGCCGGTGCTGGTGGGTGGATGAGCATGCATGACCTAGAGCCTCAGATGGCCCGCGCTGCGCAGAGCTGCCGGGGGGCACATGAAACTCCCCAGGGTCCATTCTCCACCTCCAGTCTACTGTAGGTACTAAACAAGGTCAGGCGTTCCTGGCCAGGTTGTGTGCGCCTGTTTTTCCTGCTGCTTGTTTCCTGCCTCACCTGCTTAAAGTCATGGGACATTGGATCTTGGGGCGTACCGATCTTGAAGCCTATTTCTGTAAAGTATTGTATATTTATTGCAGCATACCCTGCTGAACCGCTGCTCTTTTAAAATGAAAAGCTGGGGTTGTGGTTTGTAATCCATTGTCATCCACAGTTCCTATCTAATTCACAGTGCACAAAATTACACGCAGAGAAAACACGACAATACTAGGTGTTCCGACCATGAAAACTACTATACTGTTACGGTAGCCAGAAGTCATATACAGGTACAGGCAAGAGGCATGTTCTCATGTGCCTGTAGTTACAGTATGTTTCTACAGTCACCTATAGGACGACAGTAATTACGGTGTTGGAAATACCTCGAAGACTTGAGCGTTTGTAAAGTGTAACACTACACTCGAGGAAAGTCGTATAGGGTACACGAGTCAACAGAGGTTACACGAGGAGGTTGGACAAAAGAATACGAAAGGGGCGAAGGTCTTAGAAACTTGGGACTAAAGGTTCTTAAACTTAGGAGGCTAGGTTGGCTAGGATACTAGGAAGAAGACCGCCATGGAATGGCGTGAGGAAAAACGGATCTAGGAGGTGAGAGGATGTCGAGAAGAAAGGGAGTTGGATTAGGAAGAGAGGGGAGTACAAGGAGGGGTTTGTACCCCCTACAGAAAGGTTCAGTAACAACCTACCAAGCCTATATTAAATTATAACTTATATAATTTTAACACACCCCCTAGGCTTGGTAGTGTCAAGCCACGCACACCCCCACACCCACACCCACACCCACACCCCTAGCCCAGCACCCCCATTCCCAGCAGGAGCCGCAACGACTCCGGAAGAGGGTAGGTCTCACGGCCCCTTGAGACGGCAATGGCGGCAGCAGCGACAGTGACGACGGCGGCGGCGGCTCCAGGCCTGCGGCAACAGCGGCGGCGCCAGCGGGTCGAACGACAGAGGCTGGTGCGGCGGCCCCCGCCCTCTCGGCGGCATGTCCTGTCTCCTCGGCGGTGGAGAGGTCCCTCACATGGCAGTCATCGGCTGCAGCAAGAAAGGGGGGGATGCAGGGGAAGCAGGTGCAGGTGGGGGGGGGGAGGGGAGGGGCGGGGCGAGGCGAGTCTTCAGCGACGCGCCATAAGTGGCGCGGCGCTTACTGGCAGGAGGGCGGGCAGGTGGCGGTTATGACGGCGTGCTGCCCGCTGCCGCCCATCCCACGCTGCCGCGGCAGCATGACGACGCCGCCAGGGCGCGGCGTCGACGCTGTGGCGGCACGCCGACGCTGCAACGGCAGCAAGGTGACGCTGCCACGGCAAAGCGTCGACGCAACCGGCTGCGGCCCGACGGCGCCGTCGACGCTGCAGCAGGACGTCGACGTCGCGACGGCAGAGGCAGCGTCGATGCCGCAGCGGGACGTCGACGCTGCGACTGCAGAACGACGGCCCGACGCCACGGCAGCGCGTCGAGCCGGTCGCGGCACGACGCGGCCAGTGGCAGCGCGACGTCGCCACTGCAGCAAAACGCGGCCGCCATGGCCGCTCGAGCTAATGAGAGCGAGGAGTAAATTGCGGAAGCGTGAGGAGGCGATCCAACAGGGAGGATCTCCTGCTCTGATACCATCTTAGAAACTTGGGACTAAAGGTTCTTAAACTTAGGAGGCTAGGTTGGCTAGGATACTAGGAAGAAGACCGCCATGGAATGGCGTGAGGAAAAACGGATCTAGGAGGTGAGAGGATGTCGAGAAGAAAGGGAGTTGGATTAGGAAGAGAGGGGAGTACAAGGAGGGGTTTGTACCCCCTACAGAAAGGTTCAGTAACAACCTACCAAGCCTATATTAAATTATAACTTATATAATTTTAACAGAAGGGACTCGAAGGGTCGCAACCGGAGGTTGCGATTGACCGTTGCGGCTGCAAGGGCGGTAACCGAACCGATAATCGAGTCGCTGTGCGACTCGATAACCGTTCCTTCAACTGTATTCTACAACTGCTTCATTTCTTATTTTCAATATATTGCTGGATGCTTGTTTCTTTTAATCAATCACTTGCTCTCACATACTAGTGCAAGGGTTCAACTACTCAACACTTCCGCTGCACTACTCAAGCGTTTTGTACAAGTGGGACTTAGTCTCTGAAAAGGTCCTAAGGCTTTTTCTCAGCCCAACATGGTATGAGAGCTGGTCAGAGACCAAACTCCCATCGACAACATTCTATCTAGAGTCAGCATATCAAAAGCTTCATCGACAACAAGACATGGACAACAAGGGCAAAAAGTCTTCTACGTGCTCACCCAGCGCCCAAGCCACTCAACCCGGCACCTCTGGACTACACACCTCAGGACTACAAACCGAGACCGGCGCTGCTCAAGAAACAACAGGAAGAGTACCAGAAATGGTGACCCCTTCACCCTCTTCACGTGTGGACCCAAACCTTATGGAAAGGTTCTTCAGCTTCATGTCGTACTTCGACCAGCAGCAGCAGACAGGGACACCTGCGCATTCAACACAAAGTAATGGAGAAAATACGGGGTTAACAACGATGAGCCTCGACAACTAATAATTCGGGCGGCACAACCAGGCGCCTACCTTTGCGCCTTATCACTCTTCACCAGGGACGTTCAAGTTCATGCCGCCCCGTGCTCAACCGACAGCAGTTGCATCACAACACACACCAAACAAAATATTAAGTCTCCAGGCGCAGTTTTCACATGTGATCAAACTGCAGACATCTTCACCGTTCAACCAGCACGACTTCTTTACCTGGAGCTTTGAGTTCGAGCTGCTGATAGAGGCCGCGCACCTCTTGGGATACTTCAACGGGTCCCTGTCATTTCCAAGCAATGGCACTGCAAAATGCAGGAAATCTTCACCTATCAGTCGCTGCTGGCATACACAGTTCTCCTGCGAAACCTGTCACCACAAGAGCAACAGAGCATCAGAACATATCGGAGCTACGGAAACTCCGCGGAGCTCGCCTGGCATCATCTGAAATGTCTATATCAAGCAAACGACAGTGTGACACAAAGCAAACTCATGCAGCAGTTGACAACAATACAAATGAAGACCGGGGAAAAGGCGATGCAGTATATGAGTCGCTGCCAGACACTTCGTGACCTCCTGCTTCAGTGCGGAGGCACAATCACTGAAGAAAGCTTCGTGACACTTGTTCTCGTCGGGCTTGGACCACAATGGAGAACCACCCGCTCGCTTCTTCGCGCCCACGGACGATTTTCCGAGATGCACCTCTGCGCCGAACTTCATGCTGAACAACAGGAGATGGACCTATTTGAAGAAAGATAACCATGAAGCAAGCAGCAACCGTTAGTCTTCTACACTCAAAGAAGGGACAACAACAACCACAACCAACGCGACAAGCAGAACCGACACGACACCAGAGGCCTCACCATCGTGCCGCCGTTCTGCCACAACTGTCAGACATCCGGGCACTCCAAGGTCAACTGCACACGCCCTCGATTTTCTCGTCCAGCAGACCCGCAAGCCGCCTCCACTCAAGCAAATCCACGAAGACGTTCCTCTACACCTACACAAGGCGCACCAAATATCATTAACTGCATGGTACGAATCGACAGCTGCACACCCGGGTCACCACCCACTTACGCTCCAGACGAAGAAGAGCTGCCGCCGCCGCGCTCACAAGGCCTTCAGGTCAACCCCACGTATGCTGCAGTCGCCAACAACGAACCCACCGGGCGAAACACCTGGTTCTTGGACAGCTGCTGCGGTCAACACATGTGTTCCTCGGGGCGCTTCGTGCATCGAGAGCGACGTCTCAACCGCGACGTCGTCATCACCGTCGCCAACAATGAGAACCTGAAGACAAACAGACAAGGAGTGATTCAGCTTCAATCAATGCAGACAAACGTCATACTGCAACTCAACAAAGTTCTCATCGTCGACAATTTGGGATACAATTTATTAAGTGTCAGCCAGTTAATGGCAAACGGAATTCACCTGGAATGCGACTCGGATGCCAACGAGTTTCGCCTTTATCACGGGAAGGGCGGCCTCTTCAGCGATCGCGCTCTCCTGAAGTCGGGCGTCTTTGTGCTGGACTTCATCCCCGACCGCGGTACTGCCGACAGCGACGCCATCGTGCCGTTCGCCACCTAGACGCACCCGCCCGATCTTGACCCCGACTTTAATCCAGGCGGGTTCTAGTACTCCAACACCATTCCTGCAGTAGAGAGAACATGAGCATTAGCAGTCATTCGAAAAGAACGACAAGTACGAGCAAGTATCCCTTCCCCGACATCACCTGCAGTAGCAGCACCAAGACCCAGCCGTGCGCCATCACCAGCAGTCCGAGGACCGCCAACCAAAGCAGATCAGCTCATGCCCATCACCCAAGAAGTCTGCCGTAGTCCCGCTACGGTCATCGCGTTCTTCTCCAATGCCGACCTATACCGGCGTTCACCCGGCCATCGCGCTCCCGACGACATCTGGCATCAACGCCTCGGACACCCTGCAAACAGCACAATTCTTCAAACCATACAAGCCGGAGTATTAGAAAAAGACGCTCTCCTCACACCAAGCGGCCAGGAGCTTCGACGACCCCGCGCACGATGCTTCACGTGCCCCGAAGCTGATCTTCCCCATCAACCTTTCCTATCGCACTATAATCCAAGCGCACCTGCATACGCACCGATGGAAAAGGTTTATAGAGATATTTTGAATATGCCTCGAGACGACAGTGAAGCAGAGTACAACTACGTTATCACATTCATCGACGCAGCAATACGATACGCCTGGCACTTCAACCTCAAGACTCGTGACCAAGGGTTCGAAGCTTTCACGACGTGGCTCCCCATCGCTGAACGAGAATCGGGCTCCCAACTCAAGAGTTTCCTGTCAGAGGGGCACTGGAGTATCAGTCACAAAGGTTCAGGAGCTACTTGGCGGAAAGAGGCATCAAACGCCTGGTGTCCCTGCCCTACGCTCACCAGCAGTAGGGGGTCGCAGAGAGGATGAACCGCACCTTGCAGACGACGATGCGGAAGCTGCTCCTGGGGATGAGACTGCCCAACACCCTTTGGGCTGACGCGATGACACATGCAGCCCATCTCCACAACTTGCTGTCCTCGTCAACACTTCCCAACAGTGCATCACCGCACCTGCTGTGGACAAGAAAACTGGGCAGCACAAAATTACTTCGAGTTTTCGACTGCATGGTACAGTACAGACCCCACACAGCTTGAGGAGGACGATTTTCTCAACAAGCACGGTGGGGACTACACCTCGGCATCGCAAAACATTTTCACGCGTGGAAACTTCTCGACATCCAGGACAAAAACACCGTGGCCTCACGTGATGTGATTTTCTACGAGGGACTGAAGCTGCCAGCATTACCTGAACAACGTCGCCAACACCGCAGACCCCACCGACGACTTCGAGGGCCATCGGTCCTTTGCCGACCCTGCTGCCGAAGCTGACGCAGCAGAAGAAGACGTACCTGAAGCCTCGGAAGCTGCCGGACCACTCCCTTACTGCTTCGTGCCCGTTCCACTCGACGACGACAACTCTCTCGATAGTAACAACATCGACACCTACTACCACTTCGCTGACCAGGGCTACACTACACCTCAACCGGTCGACACAAATGTCTCTGAACGCATCGGACCGAATTTCTTACCTGACCCCGAAGATGGCGACGAAGCAGCTTATACCGGGGATGAAAATTCCCCTCGACACACACACACGGGCCTGCAGATACTTGGACTATGAGTCGCCGTCCAGAGCCCGCCGCCGCCGTCGCCGCGCGAGCCAACGACTGTATCGCAGGCTCTGGGGGGGGAACATAAGGCGAAATGGAAGGAAGCAATGGAAACACGGGGAAACTAGTACCTGCGACAAAGACCAACGGGAAGAATGTGCTCTCGAGGATGTGGGTGTACCGAATCAAGACTTATGCGGATGGCTCCATCGACTGCTTCAAGGCTCGCTGGGTCGTACGTGGATTTGATCAGCGATACGGAACCGACTACATGGAAACATTCGCCCCAGTCTCCCGACATACCTCCCTGCGCATTCTACTCGCCGACGCGGCCACGAAAAGGTTACCACTGCGGCAGATCGATGTCGCCAACGCTTTCTTGTACGCACCTGTGGACGCTGAGATCTTCGTCGAGCAGCCCCACGGCTTCATCGACGATCCTACAAAAGTGTGCCAGCTGATAAAATCTCTCTACGGAATCAAACAAGCCCCGCGGCTTTGGCAGCAACACCTTCACGGCCGCCTCGTCAGGATCGGCTTCCTGCAGCTGCCGCACGACCAAGGGATGTACCGACTGCAGAAGGGGGGTGACTTTGTCCTACTCATCGTACGTCGATGACTGCTCTACGTCGACTCCACTACCGATGTTGTGACCTGGTTCGAAGGGGAGCTGAAGAGTGATTTAACACTCACGGTGTCAGACACCGTTACCCAGTACCTATGCCTGAACGCCGTCGAAGACGATTCGGCGTTCTACCTACACGCCGGAAAGTACGCAGGCGTCATCGCGAAGAAATTCGGACTAATGCCGGTCGCTGTCGCGACTCCCTATCGCTACGGGGAACGACAACAGCGACACCTCCGCAAAGCTCCCCACTAAGCAGATCCAGGAATACCAACAGAAGCTCGGTTGTCTCCTGTTCGCAGCCGTAACCTGCCGACCGGATTTGTCCTACAGCGCTAGTCAACTGGCGACACACCTGAAGCAGCCGGAGCAAGAGCACCTCGAGGAGCGGAATCGGGCAGTGCTCTACTTCGTCTCTACGCCGACAGTCGGACTCACCAACAGCAAGGTGACACCGTCGTCCATACAACTACTCGGCTATGTCGACGCTGACCACACGGGAGACAAGGGAAATCGGTGTTCCAGAACGGGCTACATCTACCGACTAGAGCTATCGGAACTATATCCTGGCAGTCGAGCAAGCAAGAACTAATCGCACTATCTTCGGCTGAAGCGGAATACATCGCTCTCTTCACTGCGACCAAAGAGGGACTTTACCTACGGGAGCTGCTCGAGGAAGCGAAAATTACGACCATGCCCGCCTTCTCGATATTCAGCGACAACCAATCTGCGATCAAAATCGCGAACAAAAACGGGATCGCCAATCGAACCAAGCACATCGCCATGCGGTATTTCTTCGTCAGGATGAGATCGCGAAGGGGAGACTTCAACTCAATTACTGCCCCACGACAGAAATGGCTGCAGATTACCTGACGAAGAAACTGGCGAATGAAAAGTTCGATTACTGCATGCTGATGACCGGGCAGATAAACGTCACCGAATCCGGACGCGTCAGCACTCCAGAAATGAAGGGGAGTATTGGAAATACCTCGAAGACTTAAGCGTTTGTGAAGTGTAACATTACACTCGAGGAAAGTCGTATCGGGTACGCGAGTCAACGGAGGTTACACGAGGAGGTTGGACGAAAGAATACGAAAGGGCGAAGGGACTCGAAGGGTCACAACCGGAGGTTGCGATTGACTGTTGCGACTGCAAGGGCGGTAACCGAACCGATAATCGAGTCGCTGTGCGACTCGATAACCGTTCCTTCAACTGTATTCTACAACTGCTTCATTTCTTATTTTCTATATATTGCTGTATGCTTGTTTCTTTTAATCAATCACTTGCTCTCACATACTAGTGCAAGGGTTCAACTACTCAACACTCCCGCTGCACTAAAGCGTTTTGTACAAGTGGGACTTAGTCTCTGAAAGGTCCTAAGGCTTTTTCTCAGCCCAACATAAGGCGTGGTAACTAACGAGCGAGTCCTCACTTCTCTGGTGGAGGAAGAATGCAGAGGATATAGTGTAAGAACGCAAAAACACAGGCCTCACACCCACCTCCCCCACCACCGCATCCCCCACCTCCGTGACAACCACGCTGTAGGAGTGGTGGGAATAGCCGCGTCCGTGTATCAATGCGCGCTGAGAAGTGGGCCCCCTTCTCAGTAGTAGTGGTGATTCCACATGCACTCACTCTCCTGGCCTCACTTCTCAGGGTGGGGGCAGAATGTAGAGTAGATAGTGGATTAACGCACGCAAGTGCGCCTCGCCCACCTCCCACCAACCACCGCACCCCCCGCGTCCATGGCAACCACGTCGGAGTAGTGGTGGTCGCCTGGAAAAGCCTTGAACCAATGCACACTGATGATGATTCGGGTCTCACTTTTCATGTGGGGGAGGATGTAGAGCAGGTAGTGTATGAACGCGCGCACGTGCGCCTCACCCACATCACCCACCACTGCATTCCCTGCGTCCGTGGCGACTATATAAGAGTAGTGATGGTCACCGGGAATCGCTGAGTCCGTGTACCGAGGTGCGTCTATCAGCCAGGTGTCCAGAATCGTAGCTGCTCCTGCCTGTATCTCATTCTGATGCGCATCTGTTTCCTCTTCTGTTTCCGGGTCTGCGTCTGCTGTTTCTTTTCCTGTTGCCTCAGCTTCCGAAGGTGATGAAGACAGGGTCGTCGGGGGACCTGAAGAGTCGGCATCAGTGTCTCTCGCCTCTCTTTCTCTCACGGGCTCTTCAAACATGAACCCTTCCCCTGGCAGCCATTGCAAGCGATCGTCTAGCCCCACCTGAACCTGCCCCTGCTTCCCCTTCCACTACCCCTTTCTTCAAATCCTGCAATATCCTCCTCTCCTCCTCTTCCTCTCCCCCCCAGCACGATCCGCTTCAGCAGCGCGTTGACCGCCATACCCGCTCTATTCGTCCCCGGCCCACTGTACCAGCCATTGCAAGAGTTCCATTTCACCACAAACGAGGGGATGGTGCGGAAAACCGCCCGGCCTTTCCCGGGCGCAACGGCTGCAATACCCCAGCGCACAAACTCACGCAGGTGCACCCGGAGGGATTTAAGGGGTTGCCGGCAGAAGGAAGCTCCCCAGTACCTCCTCAAAGAGGGTGACGTCAGCAGTGGATGAGATGTTGGGGAACTGGGTCTCTCTCTGTGTGGTGGTGCCCCTGTGGCTACATCCAAACTCCCCATTCCTGTATATCCCATCGATCCAATAGAAGTTAATCTTCAACTCCCGCCCCTCACCATCCCTAGCCGAATAGAACAGATTATCGCGCCACTTCTGCACCCCCATGTCTGCCCGCCCTGTCAGCAGATAAACAGATGCGCAATGAAATACCGCTGGTGCGAGTCCCCCACGATACTTATCTCGCGGATGCCCCGTTTTTCCAGCGCTGCTATCCAGCTAGACGGGGGAAGCTCTCTGTGGGCGCAAAAGTAGGGGTCCAGTGGTACGTGCCGTTGCTCAGTTTCCACCGGGTGGGGACGGAAGTACCCGCACAGGGGTTTGCAGGGAGGAGAGAGCCTAGTCTGGGGTTGGCTTCGGGAGGGTTTAGGTGTGGCGTGGTTGCTTGGAGGTGGGGAAGTGAGGGGTGGGTTTCTCGGGTGAGATTTGATCTGATTGTGGGGCGGGATAGTCGGCAGTTGCACCAGAGGCGAGACTCCTGCTGCTGCTGCTGTGAAGCTCCGCGTGTGTGGAGTTGGGTGTGGTGCGGTGCAGAACGGTGAGGCGCCAGGTGACAAGGTCGTGCTGAGCTGTCTTGTTGAGATGGGGAAGAAGTGCGGTGAGAAGCGCAGGTTGGCGCACCCTATGTGGACCGTGGCCCTGCCGTTGAGGGGGGATGGGGGAGGGGGTGCGGGGAGGGTATGCGGGGAGGGAGAGAGCGTGAGAGAGAGTATGGGGAAAAGTGGGCTCAGGGGAAGAAGTGCGGGGAGGAGCGCAGGTTGGTGCAGCCTATGTGGATAGTGACCCTGGGATGGGATAGTTGGTAGGGAGGAGGGAGGGAGCGATGGCATCGCATGGCAACACTTGAGGATCGAGAGAGGTAGGAATGTGGGAAAACGAGGCATCAATTGCCTTACAGGTAACCATATGGTAACCATACTCACCAGTAGCAACGCATTCCACCCCCGGTACTCCCAGGGTTTCTTCCCACATCCCATAATCGGTAAGCCAAGCCGCACTCATCTCCCTGCGGCGCGGGGAATCCAGGCACCGCACGTCCCCCGCCCCCAAGGCCGGCCCCTCAATGCAACTGTCCGTTTTCACCGTTCTCCACCTCACAGAACCCCTTGTCCCCATACTCATACTCACAAGTATTCCCCGACATCCCACAGCCGGTAGGCGACACTCATCTCCCTGCAGCGCGGGGGGTCCAGGCACCGCACGTCCCCCGCCCCCGAGGCGGCCCCCGCATTGTAACGGTCAGCTCGCGCTTCCACCAGCTGCGCTTCCGCGCCTGCAGCACTTCCTCCGCCCAGTGCGCGGGCGCGCGCACGGACACGCGGAAGGCGCACAGCTCCCCCCTGCGGCAAGACGTGCAGTCGCGCCCGTGAATGGTGACTCCGGGGGGCGATGGGGAGGTGTAATCTGGGGAGGGAGCAGCAGGGGGAAGGGGGGGGGGGGGACGGGGTGGCAACGATACGTCATGCATGCGCGTGTAGCAGGCAGTCACGGGCATCATACATGCTGATTCGCCGCATACTAAGCATGCACTGCATGTGCGTATCGAAGGTGCCGCGTGTGCGCGACTCACCTCCCGACGACGTCCAGCAAACGTGCTCCGACGCCTGCTGCTGGTGTCGCCGCCGTGCGGCATCCTCGTCACCCGCGATAAAATCGCTCAACCCCGTCGCAGACACCCGCCCCACCTAGGAACAGCGCTTTCCGCAGTTTCCCCAGCATCAAACGCTTCCCCCAATGCTCCCACGACTCCCCCCAGGCGGACATGCGCAGCGACACTCCCCCCGCAATTGCGCCTTCCGCGGATGCGGCTTCCCCCGCTCCGCTGGCTGCTGGCACCACCCAGTGTTGCGGAGCGGATCGCGCTATAAAGAGTACAAGGAGCAACGCGTTAAGACCTAGAAGCATGTAGTGAAACCAATCCATAGTACCTCTGGGGCTTCTGCTCCCTCGGTTACTAAGACACTTCCCGATTTTGAACTCACAAACGCGGACAGAGGATTCGATATAAGCCGGAATATTGGAGAAGACACGCGAACGAAGAAAGAGCTGGTTGAGGACTGTACATGCATGGCTCTAAACGCCGTGCCGTTTCGTTCGGTGATGCTGCCGGTTCTGTCCGCTTCCCGTCAACGTTCCGTCGGCGTCTGTCTCCTTAGCTAAGATGCTGAGAAAGCAGTGCTGCTCGTATCGAGTCAAATACGTCAAGGATTTCTCTGATGCTACTTGCAGACGGCGGCAGAGAGGAATCAGTTTTCCTGATCTTATACTGAAACGGCCTCGCGAGTCTGAAAAGCGAGTCTGACAAGCGATGGTTGTTAACCTGCGACTTTATCTACTATCTGCGATACGCAAAGCTCGCGGTGAACTAGAAGCAAGCAGGAAGAGAAAGGACGAGAATCTCACGCAGAAAAGGACCAAGATGCGTAAGGGTATTTGTAGGAGCTGACGTCGTGAATCGTGATTCCACGGGATGTGAGTCACGACTCATGGCGTGTCAGCGTGTCCTGTCTTGCCGCGAACTCATATCTCCCTTCCACGGCAAGGTGGACTGCCACAGATTGCACACGAAGCATCCGCGACTCGCATCGCGTGGTCTGATCATGGACCGTGCGAGTTGCAACGAGGTCACCGAAACCCGGTAACTCTGTATTCGGGGCGACTATACTGTGTCGTATGTGACTGACACAGTGAAGTCACATTTAGGAGATTAGTGCCGCGGACTGTCCACGAAATCTTTCATACTTTCGTGGACAGGCCCTACTTTCATGGTCTGCACATCAAACTTTTGCTTCTCGCGTGGACTCGGTCCATACTTTCGTTGACAGCCGGCATAGTTCCATGGACACACTCGAAATTGCAGTAAGAAACGTAATCAGAACTGTACATGTTGTGCCTCCATACCAAATCTGAAGCAGAATCCCACAATCATGGAAGTGGTAGTTACGATCTCTCAAACATAAAGGCGGGACTGTGCTTGATCAATACAGTCCCATCCGCATCCAGTCCCATTAAAATTCATTCTTGATACCATCATTAAGGCACATGGCATACTATGGGTTTTGAGAGAAAATACTAGATTGAATAGTATATGTATTGGTTGTAATACATATTTATTTATGGGATCAATATTTTAATTACACCACTAGCTTTTAAATTGAATATAAAGATATTTTTAATACCTTATGATTTTATTCGAATGTCGAACGCTATATATACGATTTTTATGCTAATAGATTGGATTTCATGTGAGGTGATGCTATCTGGTTTAATGACGAGATTTATTCCACTGCTGCTGATATACCCCTGGTGTCGACTGTAGCCCGTACGTTACAGTCTCTGAAATGGATTTTGAGTGTCACTGCAAGATATCCTAGATTTACGCGAAGCAGCTTTCTGACCTGGCTGGTTGCGGACACTGTAGCTTGCGACCCTTTGCGACGGTCCTGATTTTGGCAGTTTTGTTTTTCCACCTGTCACAACGTGTACAGTTCTCATCATGTTTTTTAACTGCAATTTCGAGAGTGTCCATGGATGTATGCCCGCTGTCCACGAAAGTATGGACCGAGTCCACGGGAGAAGCAAATGTTTGATGTGCAGTCCATGTAAGTAGGGCCTGTCCACGAAAGTATGAAAGATTTCGTGGACAGTCTACAGCACTAATTGCCCCTACATTCAGCCAAGTCGCATGTGTCAACGGACTGACATGAGCGCAAAGTGGTATTCGCTGAAACATGATTCGATATATCTTTACATTAGACCATTAGAAATATAGTGAAGTACGAGAGACGAGAGACCTTCGAGAATTGTGAATTCTTGTGGGTGTCGAATGAAGCAGCACACAGCGAAGCAGCAGTACATTCAGAACACCATCTTGTTCGCTGAATCTGACCCTCTTCTTCTTCGGCAGTCCCAAGGGCGTCCATCTTCGCCTTACCTGGAGAGTGCGTTGATGTAGTTGCCAGCTGCGCATAGCCCGTTGGTGCTCAAATCGACGAGCAGGCGGCCTCTCATCCCATCGCGCTAGTCGTAGTTGCTCTTGTAGAATACGACCCGTATACCTAAAATCTCACAAAAGCTGCCAGACCCTTTTGATCATGCTACCGTCGCAGTACAGTGCGTACTTGCAGCGAAGCATACGATTGCACATACAGAACTGCGTGTTGTCGAGAACCAGGATTCATTACAGTCCAGTACCAGTCGTGGGAGTAGGACGCGACCGGTGCAATGCACGTAGAAGGCACGGGGGATGCAACTGCGGTTCTCCTCTCCTCTCCATTCTCCTCTCCATTCTGCATTCCCCTGCTGGTAACAGTGGTCACAGTGCATTCTCTTGTTCAGAGGTACGAGGGGTGCGCGGTGTCAGGATGCACCTCATTCAGCAGCTCATGCGAGCACCGCTCGTTTTGCCTTCTATCCTGGAGCTGCAGCTACTGTACGACGCCCTCGTCGCTGGCTCCTCGCTGGCTCTCACTCCCCCTCGCCCTCTACAGTATCGTGCTGGCTCGACACTCGAACCAGCCCGAGTCGTGGAGAGATTATTCGATGTACACCCAAGTATTCGATGAAATAGCACATATTAGAGCCCTCTTTTTGTTACCATCACCCCAAGTTCGGTTCAGGTTTGCAATGTCGCACGGAGAGCGAGTCCCGTCGAACGTGGGTTTCTCAGGCAAGCGCAGTATAGCGTTACAGTGACCACGCAGATAAAACAATCGTTGCCATCGAATACTTGGTGTACTGTACTCTTGTAGTAGGATGCGTCTGCCGACGTGGAAGGGGCACAAGCCAGGTACAGTAGCGTTTCTCACCCTCCCCCCCACTACCCCCCTAGAACCATTCAAGGCTGGCCGCTATGAGTTTCCATCCTCACTCATCTCACTCGCCTCACTCGTCTCACTCGCCTCAGGCTGCACCTCTCGCCCGAAGAGAAAGAATCTTCCTCTTCGCGGACCAGCGGAGGGGTGTCACTGTCCTCCTCCCGTCCTGCGCGCCAGAAAGCGCTCCGATTCACCCATTGGCCAGGTTTTTTCTGCATACTGTAGACCGCTCTTCGCTACAGTACTACTGCGCAACAGCCCGACAGTATGGTACAGCCTGCACCGCTACCGAGTAGCGCCGTGAGTGGTGGATCCTTCCAGAATGGACGTGCTGCCTTCTAGCCACTCCTCCCTCCCTCTCACCGCTCCTCTTTCCTCCGGAGTTTCTCTTCGCCACTGCCTTGTCTGATCGAACTAGACCAGACTCTCTGCGTCGTCCCCTTGTCGCTTGGCAACGGACGTCCAATCGTTGTCCGCCTACGATCCTCTCTGCCTCAACCTCGAAAACGCTTCCTTCTCTCCGCCAGAGACATTCGCCCTGTATGAGCCCCTCTTTTAGACCCGCGACCAGCTGGAATCCGTGCTACTGACTCCCTGCGCGCCTCAGCCACGGTCATTTCCTCTTCGGTTGACTTCAGCCAACCACGGGATCCGCGTTCGAAGTAGCCGCTGGACGAGGCGCCATCCGGAGCAGCGCGTTTTCGACCAGCCTCATAATCCATGGCGGCTCCTTTCCACAGGGCCCACTCCGCCGACGAGAACCGCGTCGTCTCGCCCCCTGCTGCGCCGACACCGCGCGGAGAGGGGCAACCGGGGGCACCAGGAGGCAGAGGAGGCGGGGGAGGCGGGGGAGGCGGAGCAGCGGGGCGCATAGCTCACAGCCCGAGTTATCCCAACTCTGGGTATGCTACTAACGGGGATGGGAACCTTGGGGGCTCGCGGCGGTCTCTGGAGGGCGGAGGCGGGAGCTCCAAGGCGCTTTCGAGATCCAGTAGCGGGGCAGTTGCTAACGCGGATGCCACGGGTGGTAACGGAGAGGTGGGGAGCAGCAGGTGGCTAAGGCGGGGGGAGAGCGGCGAGGGGAGCGGGAAGCATTGGTCCGGTACAAGCAGTGCGCTTTCTGCTAGTAGCGAAACGCCTCGTGCGTGGGCTAGCCAGCTGTCCGCCAGTGGTGACAATAGCGGGGGTGCTATCCTCGAGCTGGGTGACTACAACGATCAGATGGCCACATCCCCGTATCCAGAGGCGATCAAAGAGGAGGAAGGGTCCGTGGAGGGCCGGAATGTTCCAATGCCGGATGTGACTCTAGAGGAGGAGCTCTCCGAGTCTCTCATGCCGCTCAAGTGGGTGTTCTTCCCCGAGGCAGACCCCATTCAGCAGTTTCGTGGAAAGCCGTGGAGGGAGAAGATCTGGGTGTTCCTCAAGGGCGTGTTCCCGATCCTGGAGTGGCTGCCCAAGTACGACCTGCGGTACTACCTGCTGGGTGACATCATCGGGGGGGTGTCCATCGCTATAATGTCCGTGCCTCAGGTGAGCCGTTCACTGTGATCCAGTGCGTTGCCTTGCTGTGCCTTGGCATTGCAATGCATCGCTGCATTGCAGTGTGTGTGTTGTCGGATACCACCTCACTGCGCCAAGGAGGAGGGACCCCGGACCTGCATTTGTCATTTTCTCGGTCTCCTCTCCTCGGTGCATTCTCCCCACCCACATGGTCACATCCTGCCTCTCCTAGCCATCCTCCCTGCCGAGTCCGCTCTCCATGACGTGTCTCCCTCTCTCTCGCCTCAGAAGCCAACCTAGCCACGTCTGTGTGTCCCTCTGTGCGTGTATCCAACTCAGACTCCCTGCCTCTCCCGCCCTCCCAGGACATCTCATACGCCAAGTACGCCAACCTCCCTGCCGAGTTTGCTCGCCCTGACAGCATCTGTCCGTCTCTCCCCACCAACCTTGCTCCGTTTGTGCGTGTCTCTGCATGGCTCCCGCCCTCCCAGGACGTCTCATACGCCAAGTACGCCAACCTCCCACTCTCGCCCCGCCACCAACCTAGCCCCGCCAACCTAGCCCCGCCAACCTAGCCCCGCTTGTGTGTCCCTCTGTGTGTGTGTCTACCTCCCCCTCGCCCTCTCGCGCCCTCCCAGGACGTGTCATACGCCAAGTACGCCAACCTCCCTGCCGAGTTCGCTCTCCGTGAGTGCCTCCATTGCCCCACCTTCCTTCTCCCCCCCTGCATCGTCACATCTCCCTCCCTGCATCGTTGCATCTCCCCCCTGCATCGTCACATCTCCCCCCTGCATCGTCACATCTCCCCCCTGCATCGTCAAATCTCCCCCCCTGCATCGTCACATCTCACCCCTGCATCGTCACATCTCCCCCCTGCATCGTCACATCTCCCCCCTTGCATCGTCACATCTCCCCCCTTGCATCGTCACATCTCCTCCCTGCATCGTCACATCTCCCCCCTGCATCGTCACATCTCCCCCCTGTATCGTCACATCTCCCCCCTGCATCGTCACATCTCCCCCCCTGCATCGTCACATCTCCCTCCCCATCCTTCTCCTTGCATTCCCTCCCTCCCTCACGCCCCGCATGCGTTGACGCTACCTCACGTACCATTCCCTCCCTTCGTACCAAGAAGCACAAGTGCTGCTTTTTAGTCGACTCAAAAGTTGACGCTACCTTACGTACCATTCCCTCCCGTCGTACCAAGAAGCACAAATCCCCTATCCTGCCTCTTTCCAAAACATCCCCACCCAACCCCCCCTTCCCCCCCAGGCACCAGCTTCGTCCCGCCTCTGCTGTACGCGATACAGGGCTCCTCCAAGCACCTGGTGATAGCGCCTGTCTCAGTGGTGTCTAGGCTGCTGGGCACCACCCTCAGCGCCATAGTAGAACCCAACGCTGACCCTGCTCTCCCTTCTCCTCCCTCCCGCCCATCCCCTTCCCCCCCCAGGCACCAGCTTCATCCCCCCTCTGCTGTACGCGATACAGGGCTCCTCCAAGCACCTGGTGATAGCGCCCGTGTCCGTCGTGTCTCAGCTGCTGGGCACCACACTCAGCGGCATAGTGGACCCCAGCGCCGACCCTGCTCTCTACACCAGTCTCGCCGTCACGGCCACCTTCTTCTGCGGCATCTTCCAACTCATCATGGGGCTCTGCAGGTGCGGGGCTCTGCAGGTGGGGGGGGTGTGGCTAGTGCATGCTGGTAGCAAATGTAATGTGCAGGTATGGAGGTGGTGCGGCAATCCCCAGCCACTCAGCAATTTTCTGCAGGCGCACCTTCTTCCACCCCGCGCTCTAGACGACCCGCCTCGCCGTCACAGCCACCTTTTTCTGTGGGATCGTCCAGCTCGTCATGGGGCTCTGCAGGTCCGTCCGAGTGCAGGCATGCGGGCATATGTGGGTGGGTGTCCACAGTCCAGTCATTCCGGAACGCGTGAGGGTTTGGACTTTGAGCACGATGCCCTAAACATCTTGCTCTGTCCGTCCCTCCTCTTGCTTCTCAGGTTCGGCTTCCTGGTGGAATTCCTCAGCCAGCCAAGCCGACCATCGTGGGCGTCCTGCCGGGGTGCCTCGATCGCTCATCATCGCCTTCCAGCAGCTCAAGCTCATCCCGGGCCACAAGCAGTTGGTTGAATTGATGCCAACACATCCTTCCCCCTCACTCCCTTCAGGTTCGGCTTCCTGGTGGAATTCCTCAACCCCAGCCAACCATCGTTGGGTTCCTGTCGGGGTGCCTCGATCGCTCACCATCGCCATTCAGCAGCTCAAGCTCATCCCGGGCCACAAGGACTTCACCCTCCCCTTACACCCTGCCCCTCCAACCTCCACCCCCCTTCCGCCTCCCCCCGCCCCCATCTTCCCTTCCACCTGGAAAACCAGGTTCGGTTTCTTAGTCGATTTTCTCAACCAGCCAACGATCGTTGGGTTCCTGTCGGGGTGCTCGCTCACCATCGCCATCCAGCAGCTCAAGCTCATTCTGGGCTACAAGGACTTCACCCTCAGCACCAGCATCGTCAACATCATCGCTGCGATAGTGCAATACAGCTCGCAGGTGGGTTCCTCCTCCTTCTGCCACAAGGTGCATGGCTGCTTGCAGGTGGCTTCCGTGGTGGGCTGGCAGGACTTCACTCTCCTCTCAGCAGCACCAGCATCGTCGACATCATCGCCGCTATTGTGCAGTACAGCTCGCAGGTGGGTTCCTCCATCCTCCTTCTGAGTCGCGTCGCATCACAATGCACAGTACAGCTCGCCGGTGGCTCACTCTCCTCTCAGCAGCACCAGCATCGTCGACATCATCGCCGCTATTGTGCAGTACAGCTCGCAGGTGGGTTCCTCCATCCTCCTTCTGAGTCGCGTCGCATCACAATGCACAGTACAGCTCGCCGGTGGCTCACTCTCCTCTCAGCAGCACCAGCATCGTCGACATCATCGCCACCATTGTGCCGTACAGCTCGCAGGTGGGTTCAACATCATTGCTATCGCCCATGCCATTGCTTAGGTCCAGTGGTGGGCGTTCGGCATGGGCATGCTCGTCGTTGTCTGTTCGTGGATACCCGCGCCCACCACTCCTTGCCCGTGCCGCCCCTGCAGTTCCAGTGGAAGGAAGGCGTTCGGCATGGGCATGCCCTTCTTCGCCGGTCCATCCTCATATCGACGCCTGCGTTGCTCGTTCTGCTGCTGTTTCCCTTGCCGTTGCCTTTGCCGCCCCTGCAGTTCCAGTGGAAGGCGTTCGTGATGGGCATGTCTTTCTTCCTCTACCTCACCACCGTCCGCGCCCTGGTGGGTCCTCAACTGTCCGCGCCCTGGTGGGTCTTCAACTGTCCGCGCCCTGGTGGGTCTGCAACTGTCCGCGCCCTGGTGGGTCTTCAACTGTCCGCGCCCTGGTGGGTCTGCAACTGTCCGCGCCCTGGTGGGTCTTCAACTGTCCGCGCCCTGGTGGGTCTTCAACTGTCCGCGCCCTGGTGGGTCTGCAACTGTCCGCGCCCTGGTGGGTCTTCAACTGTCCGCGCCCTGATAGGCCTTCAGCCGTCCTCGCCCTGGTGGGCTCTCCCCCGTTCTTGGTGAATTCTGAGTCAACTCCGAACCAGACACACATCGTGATGGGCATGTCTTTCTTCCTCTACCTCACCACCGTCCGCATCCTCGTACGCCCTTCCCCTCCCTGCTGCGTCCGCTCTCCCCATTGAGTTCCGAAATTGCCTCAAGCCTCCTACCTTTGGTTGGGAGGTCACTAGGAGCATTACCTGACAGCCAATCCTGCCCCCCCGCCCAACCAACCTTCCTACCGTTTGAGCTACTTGGCACGGGGGGTTTCATTTACCGTTTGAGCTACTTGGCACGGGGGGTTTCATTTACCGTTTGAGCTACTTGGCACGGGGGGTTTCATTTACCGTTTGAGCTACTTGGCACGGGGGGTTTCATTTACCGTTTGAGCTACTTGGCACGGGGGGTTTCATTTACCGTTTGAGCTACTTGGCACGGGGGGTTTCATTTACCGTTTGAGCTACTTGGCACGGGGGGTTTCATTTACCGTTTGAGCTACTTGGCACGGGGGGTTTCATTTACCGTTTGAGCTACTTGGCACGGGGGGTTTCATTTACCGTTTGAGCTACTTGGCACGGGGGGTTTCATTTACCGTTTGAGCTACTTGGCACGGGGGGTTTCATTTACCGTTTGAGCTACTTGGCACGGGGGTTTCATTTACCGTTTGAGCTACTTGGCACGGGGGGTTTCATTTACCGTTTGAGCTACTTGGCACGGGGGGTTTCATTTACCGTTTGAGCTACTTGGCACGGGGGGTTTCATTTACCGTTTGAGCTACTTGGCACGGGGGGTTTCATTTACCGTTTGAGCTACTTGGCACGGGGGGTTTCATTTACCGTTTGAGCTACTTGGCACGGGGGTTTCATTTACCGTTTGAGCTACTTGGCACGGGGGGTTTCATTTACCGTTTGAGCTACTTGGCACGGGGGGTTTCATTTACCGTTTGAGCTACTTGGCACGGGGGGTTTCATTTACCGTTTGAGCTACTTGGCACGGGGGGTTTCATTTACCGTTTGAGCTACTTGGCACGGGGGGTTTCATTTACCGTTTGAGCTACTTGGCACGGGGGGTTTCATTTACCGTTTGAGCTACTTGGCACGGGGGGTTTCATTTACCGTTTGAGCTACTTGGCACGGGGGGTTTCATTTACCGTTTGAGCTACTTGGCACGGGGGGTTTCATTTACCGTTTGAGCTACTTGGCACGGGGGGTTTCATTTACCGTTTGAGCTACTTGGCACGGGGGGTTTCATTTACCGTTTGAGCTACTTGGCACGGGGGGTTTCATTTACCGTTTGAGCTACTTGGCACGGGGGGTTTCATTTACCGTTTGAGCTACTTGGCACGGGGGGTTTCATTTACCGTTTGAGCTACTTGGCACGGGGGGTTTCATTTACCGTTTGAGCTACTTGGCACGGGGGGTTTCATTTACCGTTTGAGCTACTTGGCACGGGGGGTTTCATTTACCGTTTGAGCTACTTGGCACGGGGGGTTTCATTTACCGTTTGAGCTACTTGGCACGGGGGGTTTCATTTACCGTTTGAGCTACTTGGCACGGGGGGTTTCATTTACCGTTTGAGCTACTTGGCACGGGGGTTTCATTTACCGTTTGAGCTACTTGGCACGGGGGGTTTCATTTACCGTTTGAGCTACTTGGCACGGGGGGTTTCATTTACCGTTTGAGCTACTTGGCACGGGGGGTTTCATTTACCGTTTGAGCTACTTGGCACGGGGGGTTTCATTTACCGTTTGAGCTACTTGGCACGGGGGGTTTCATTTACCGTTTGAGCTACTTGGCACGGGGGGTTTCATTTACCGTTTGAGCTACTTGGCACGGGGGGTTTCATTTACCGTTTGAGCTACTTGGCACGGGGTTTCATTTACCGTTTGAGCTACTTGGCACGGGGGGTTTCATTTACCGTTTGAGCTACTTGGCACGGGGGGTTTCATTTACCGTTTGAGCTACTTGGCACGGGGGGTTTCATTTACCGTTTGAGCTACTTGGCACGGGGGGTTTCATTTACCGTTTGAGCTACTTGGCACGGGGGGTTTCATTTACCGTTTGAGCTACTTGGCACGGGGGGTTTCATTTACCGTTTGAGCTACTTGGCACGGGGGGTTTCATTTACCGTTTGAGCTACTTGGCACGGGGGGTTTCATTTACCGTTTGAGCTACTTGGCACGGGGGTTTCATTTACCGTTTGAGTCTTATTTCATTTACCGTTTGAGCTACTTGGCACGGGGGGTTTCATTTACCGTTTGAGCTACTTGGCACGGGGGGTTTCATTTACCGTTTGAGCTACTTGGCACGGGGGGTTTCATTTACCGTTTGAGCTACTTGGCACGGGGGGTTTCATTTACCGTTTGAGCTACTTGGCACGGGGGGTTTCATTTACCGTTTGAGCTACTTGGCACGGGGGGTTTCATTTACCGTTTGAGCTACTTGGCACGGGGGGTTTCATTTACCGTTTGAGCTACTTGGCACGGGGGGTTTCATTTACCGTTTGAGCTACTTGGCACGGGGGGTTTCATTTACCGTTTGAGCTACTTGGCACGGGGGGTTTCATTTACCGTTTGAGCTACTTGGCACGGGGGGTTTCATTTACCGTTTGAGCTACTTGGCACGGGGGGTTTCATTTACCGTTTGAGCTACTTGGCACGGGGGGTTTCATTTACCGTTTGAGCTACTTGGCACGGGGGGTTTCATTTACCGTTTGAGCTACTTGGCACGGGGGGTTTCATTTACCGTTTGAGCTACTTGGCACGGGGGGTTTCATTTACCGTTTGAGCTACTTGGCACGGGGGGTTTCATTTACCGTTTGAGCTACTTGGCACGGGGGGTTTCATTTACCGTTTGAGCTACTTGGCACGGGGGGTTTCATTTACCGTTTGAGCTACTTGGCACGGGGGGTTTCATTTACCGTTTGAGCTACTTGGCACGGGGGGTTTCATTTACCGTTTGAGCTACTTGGCACGGGGGGTTTCATTTACCGTTTGAGCTACTTGGCACGGGGGGTTTCATTTACCGTTTGAGCTACTTGGCACGGGGGGTTTCATTTACCGTTTGAGCTACTTGGCACGGGGGGTTTCATTTACCGTTTGAGCTACTTGGCACGGGGGGTTTCATTTACCGTTTGAGCTACTTGGCACGGGGGGTTTCATTTACCGTTTGAGCTACTTGGCACGGGGGGTTTCATTTACCGTTTGAGCTACTTGGCACGGGGGGTTTCATTTACCGTTTGAGCTACTTGGCACGGGGGGTTTCATTTACCGTTTGAGCTACTTGGCACGGGGGGTTTCATTTACCGTTTGAGCTACTTGGCACGGGGGGTTTCATTTACCGTTTGAGCTACTTGGCACGGGGGGTTTCATTTACCGTTTGAGCTACTTGGCACGGGGGGTTTCATTTACCGTTTGAGCTACTTGGCACGGGGGGTTTCATTTACCGTTTGAGCTACTTGGCACGGGGGGTTTCATTTACCGTTTGAGCTACTTGGCACGGGGGGTTTCATTTACCGTTTGAGCTACTTGGCACGGGGGGTTTCATTTACCGTTTGAGCTACTTGGCACGGGGGGTTTCATTTACCGTTTGAGCTACTTGGCACGGGGGTTTCATTTACCGTTTGAGCTACTTGGCACGGGGGGTTTCATTTACCGTTTGAGCTACTTGGCACGGGGGTTTCATTTACCGTTTGAGCTACTTGGCACGGGGGGTTTCATTTACCGTTTGAGCTACTTGGCACGGGGGGTTTCATTTACCGTTTGAGCTACTTGGCACGGGGGGTTTCATTTACCGTTTGAGCTACTTGGCACGGGGGGTTTCATTTACCGTTTGAGCTACTTGGCACGGGGGGTTTCATTTACCGTTTGAGCTACTTGGCACGGGGGGTTTCATTTACCGTTTGAGCTACTTGGCACGGGGGGTTTCATTTACCGTTTGAGCTACTTGGCACGGGGGGTTTCATTTACCGTTTGAGCTACTTGGCACGGGGGGTTTCATTTACCGTTTGAGCTACTTGGCACGGGGGGTTTCATTTACCGTTTGAGCTACTTGGCACGGGGGGTTTCATTTACCGTTTGAGCTACTTGGCACGGGGGGTTTCATTTACCGTTTGAGCTACTTGGCACGGGGGGTTTCATTTACCGTTTGAGCTACTTGGCACGGGGGGTTTCATTTACCGTTTGAGCTACTTGGCACGGGGGGTTTCATTTACCGTTTGAGCTACTTGGCACGGGGGGTTTCATTTACCGTTTGAGCTACTTGGCACGGGGGGTTTCATTTACCGTTTGAGCTACTTGGCACGGGGGGTTTCATTTACCGTTTGAGCTACTTGGCACGGGGGGTTTCATTTACCGTTTGAGCTACTTGGCACGGGGGGTTTCATTTACCGTTTGAGCTACTTGGCACGGGGGGTTTCATTTACCGTTTGAGCTACTTGGCACGGGGGTTTCATTTACCGTTTGAGCTACTTGGCACGGGGGGTTTCATTTACCGTTTGAGCTACTTGGCACGGGGGGTTTCATTTACCGTTTGAGCTACTTGGCACGGGGGGTTTCATTTACCGTTTGAGCTACTTGGCACGGGGGGTTTCATTTACCGTTTGAGCTACTTGGCACGGGGGGTTTCATTTACCGTTTGAGCTACTTGGCACGGGGGGTTTCATTTACCGTTTGAGCTACTTGGCACGGGGGGTTTCATTTACCGTTTGAGCTACTTGGCACGGGGGGTTTCATTTACCGTTTGAGCTACTTGGCACGGGGGGGTTTCATTTACCGTTTGAGCTACTTGGCACGGGGGGTTTCATTTACCGTTTGAGCTACTTGGCACGGGGGGTTTCATTTACCGTTTGAGCTACTTGGCACGGGGGGTTTCATTTACCGTTTGAGCTACTTGGCACGGGGGGTTTCATTTACCGTTTGAGCTACTTGGCACGGGGGGTTTCATTTACCGTTTGAGCTACTTGGCACGGGGGGTTTCATTTACCGTTTGAGCTACTTGGCACGGGGGGTTTCATTTACCGTTTGAGCTACTTGGCACGGGGGGTTTCATTTACCGTTTGAGCTACTTGGCACGGGGGGTTTCATTTACCGTTTGAGCTACTTGGCACGGGGGGTTTCATTTACCGTTTGAGCTACTTGGCACGGGGGGTTTCATTTACCGTTTGAGCTACTTGGCACGGGGGGTTTCATTTACCGTTTGAGCTACTTGGCACGGGGGGTTTCATTTACCGTTTGAGCTACTTGGCACGGGGGGTTTCATTTACCGTTTGAGCTACTTGGCAGGGGGGTTTCATTTACCGTTTGAGCTACTTGGCACGGGGGGTTTCATTTACCGTTTGAGCTACTTGGCACGGGGGGTTTCATTTACCGTTTGAGCTACTTGGCAGGGGGGTTGAATGCGCTCAGCTGTGTGCCTCTGTCTCCCGCACTCCACTCCTCCTCACCGAACCCTCTGGTGCACCTGAGGCCCTCGAACAAGGTGTTCCGCTGCCTCAATGCGCTCCGCTCTGCTGCTCCCTCCCGTTCTCCTCAGCTACCTCACTCTCCTCGTCCTTCCCCTAACATGACACGTGTACTTAAAGCCCAAGAACAGGGTGCTCTACCATGTCAACGCGTCCATATTCCTCTTCCCCTCCCCCTTCCTTCCCTCACTCCCCTCATCCTTCGCCTAACATGGCAGGTGTACCTGAGGCCCCCGAACAAGGTGTTCCGCTGCCTCAATGCGCTCAGCTGTGCTGCTTTCTCTCCTTCTCTCCTTACGCCCGTCACCCATCACCCGTCACCCTTCACACCATCTTCTCACCTATCTCGCAGGTGTACTTAAAGCCCAAGAACAAGGTGCTCTACCATGCCAACGCGCTCATATTCCTCGTCCCCTTCCCCCTCCTTCCCTGTTACCTCACAGGTGTACTTAAAGCCCAAGAACAAGGTGTTCTACTACCTCAATGCGCTCGGCCCCTTGACATCCATTGTCATATCGACCATCATCGTTTCAGTTGCTGGACTCAGCACCAAAGGCATTCCCACGGTGAGTGAGCACCAAAGGCATTCCCACGGTGAGTGAGCACCAAAGGCATTCCCACGGTGAGTGAGCACCAAAGGCATTCCCACGGTGAGTGAACACCAAAGGCATTCCCACGGTGAGTGAGCACCAAAGGCATTCCCACGGTGAGTGAGCACCAAAGGCATTCCCACGGTGAGTGAGCACCAAAGGCATTCCCACGGTGAGTGAGCGCCAAATGCATTCCCACGGTGAGTGAGCACCAAAGGCATTCCCACGGTGAGTGAGCACCAAAGGCATTCCCACGGTGAGTGAGCACCAAAGGCATTCCCACGGTGAGTGAGCACCAAAGGCATTCCCACGGTGAGTGAGCACCAAAGGCATTCCCATGGTGAGTGAGCACCAAATGCATTCCCACGGTGAGTGAGCGCCAAAGGCATTCCCACGGTGAGTGAGCACCAAAGGCATTCCCACGGTGAGTGAGCACCAAATGCATTCCCACGGTGAGTGAGCACCAAATGCATTCCCACGGTGAGTGAGCACCAAATGCATTCCCACGGTGAGTGAGCACCAAAGGCATTCCCACGGTGAGTGAGCACCAAAGGCATTCCCACGGTGAGTGAGCACCAAAGGCATTCCCACGGTGAGTGAGCACCAAATGCATTCCCACGGTGAGTGAGCACCAAAGGCATTCCCACGGTGAGTGAGCACCAAAGGCATTCCCACGGTGAGTGAGCACCAAATGCATTCCCACGGTGAGTGAGCACCAAATGCATTCCCACGGTGAGTGAGCACCAAAGGCATTCCCACGGTGAGTGAGCACCAAAGGCATTCCCACGGTGAGTGAGCACCAAAGGCATTCCCACGGTGAGTGAGCGCCAAATGCATTCCCACGGTGAGTGAGCACCAAAGGCATTCCCACGGTGAGTGAGCACCAAAGGCATTCCCACGGTGAGTGAGCACCAAAGGCATTCCCACGGTGAGTGAGCACCAAAGGCATTCCCACGGTGAGTGAGCACCAAAGGCATTCCCATGGTGAGTGAGCACCAAATGCATTCCCACGGTGAGTGAGCGCCAAAGGCATTCCCACGGTGAGTGAGCACCAAAGGCATTCCCACGGTGAGTGAGCACCAAATGCATTCCCACGGTGAGTGAGCACCAAATGCATTCCCACGGTGAGTGAGCACCAAATGCATTCCCACGGTGAGTGAGCACCAAAGGCATTCCCACGGTGAGTGAGCACCAAAGGCATTCCCACGGTGAGTGAGCACCAAAGGCATTCCCACGGTGAGTGAGCACCAAATGCATTCCCACGGTGAGTGAGCACCAAAGGCATTCCCACGGTGAGTGAGCACCAAAGGCATTCCCACGGTGAGTGAGCACCAAATGCATTCCCACGGTGAGTGAGCACCAAATGCATTCCCACGGTGAGTGAGCACCAAATGCATTCCCACGGTGAGTGAACACCGATGTATGCGATTGGACTTTGATCTGCCGTTCTTTTTTTTCATGGTACACCGTCTGTTTCGGTGCGGCAACTTAACCTCCTCATACCTCCTCATACCTCCACATGCTAGCGTCGCCATGGGGCTGCACGGAACATTGGTACCGAACATTGCTGCACCTCGTCCATCTGGTACCTCACCTTCACGCCGGACCATGTGGATGAGGGAAGGAACTTTTTTTTTTTTTTTTTTTTTTAATTAATTAATTTATTTAAAATTTAGCCTTTCACACCTCCTCCGCCCTCCCCTTTTTCCCCCTCTCCAGTTTGGCAAGATAGGCACCAGGCTGCACAAGGCATCGTCCATCCTGCACCTCAACTTCTCTCCACCTGCTCTGTCCCCCTTCGCCGCTCTGCCCTGTGCCGCTCTGCTGTGTGCTGCTCTGCCCTGTGCCGCTCTGCCATGTGCCCTCTCCACAGATCGGCAAGATAGGCACCGGGCTGCACGGGGCGTCGTCCATCTCATACCTCAACTTCTCGTCGGAATTTGTGGCAGATGTGGCCACCGTTGGCTTCATCGCCTGCCTCGTTTGCCTCGCGGTAAGCGCTTTGTCTGTCACGTCTGCCTCGCGGTAGGCTGCCCTGCTTGCTCCTTTTTTGCTGTTCCCTTTGCTCCGAGCAAGCGTCTCGCCCATCTGGCATCTCACCTTCTCGCCGGACTATGTGGCCGATGTGGCCACTGTTGGCTTCATCGCCTGCCTCGTCTGCCCCGTGGTGAGCTGTCGTGTCTGCTTGGTCCTAGCTGTCCGTTTGGCTCCCAGTATGGTTCTTATCCACTGCATCTCGTACCTCATCTTCTCACCGGACCATGTGGCCGATGTGGCCACTGTTGGCTTCATCGCCTGTCGTGTCTGCCTCGCAGTGAGCTGAGCTGTCATGTCTGCTTGGTCCTAGCTGTCCGTTTGGCTCCCAGTACGGTTCGTATCCACTGCATCTCGTACCTCACCTTCTCGCCAGACTATGTGGCCGATGTGGTCACTGTTGGCTTCATCGCCGGCCGTGTCTGCCTCGCAGTGAGCTGAGCTGCCGTGTCTGCCTCGCAGTGAGTGCTTTGTGTCTCTCGCGGTGGGATGCGTCCTTATCTCTTCCCTTTGCCCCCTTCCTCGTGAATCCTCTTGTTTGTTTTCTCTCCCTCTTTCCTTTGAACTCCCATCAGTCTTTTCCTCTCCTTCATCCTCATCCTCCCATCGGTCTCCCAATCCTCATTCTAGCTCTTTTCTTTCTTTCTTCATCCTCTCTCTCCTCTTTCCTTCACTCCTCTTTCCTTTTTTCTTTTCTCTCCCTTTTTCCGGCTCTCGTTGCAGGAATCAGTGGGCATCGCCCGCACTTTTGCCAGCCTATATGGTTACCACATCGACGGTAACAAGGAGGTGCGCTGGTTACCACTTCGATGGTAACACTAGTAACATTCCTTCCATTTTGCCTTCCCTTCGGAAACCAGTCGTCCGTACCTGCCGGTTTTACGCCACAACCTGACTCCTCTTGTGGCGTCACCCTCGTGTCCCACCATCTCACTAACTTGTGAACCTTTTTCGCACTCCACCCTGTACAAATGGTGGCCTTCGGTTCAATGAATCGGGTCAATCCCTTTCGAGTCGACTCAGAAGTCACCCTTGTTGTGTGGCAGAACTTGTGCCTCACCATCTCACTCTTCTAGTTCTTTTCTCACTCTTATACTTATTTTCTCACTCTTCTACTTCTTTTCTCACTCTTCTACTACTTTTCTCACTCTTCTACTTCTTTTCTCACTCTTCTACTTCTTTTGTCACTCTTCTACTTCTTTTCTCACTCGTCTACTTCTTTTCTCACTCTTCTACTTCTTTTCTCACTCTTCTACTTCTTTTCTCACTCTTCTACTTCTTTTCTCACTCTTCTACTTCTTTTCTCACTCTTCTACTTCTTTTCTCACTCTTCTACTCCTTCCGCTTCAGATGGTGCCCTTCGGTTCAATGAATCTGGTCAATCCCTTTGAGTCAAATTTTATGCCCTTGTTGCTTTACAGATGGTGGCCTTCGGTTCGATGAATCTGGTCGGCTCCTTCACCTCCTGCTACGTCGCAACAGGTGAGGCAGTATGGCGAAACCAAGTGAAGTGCGGTGCGGTGCAATGCAGTGTGGTGCCGTGTGGTGAAACGCAGTGCGGTTCAGAACAGATGTAGATTGAAGCTGCAATCAAGGTACAAGTGCACGTGTATCAGCCAATCTAGGCTCTCACTTCACTCCATCACCGAACTTTGAAGTCCCCCCTCCCCTCTCCACATCCCCCCCTCCCCCCCCTCCCCTTCCTTTCATCCCCTTATCCCTCCTCCCCTCCCCTCGCCCCCCTTCCCTCACCCCCTCACCTCCTCATCCCTTCTCTCGCCCACCCCACCAGGGTCCTTCTCTCGCACGGCCGTGAACATGCTGGCAGGCGCACGGACCGCGGTCACTCAAGTCATCATGTCTGGCCTCATTCTGCTCGTGCTGCTCGTAGCCGCCCCACTCTTCAAGAACGTCCCCAATGTGAGGAAGAGGGTGGCCATTTCTCCCGCCCTCTCTTGCACTCGTCGCTCACTCAGCTCATCATGTCGGCCTCATGCTGCTCATGCGGCTCATGCGGCTCATGCTGCTCGTGCTGCTCATGCTGCTCGTGCTGCTCATGCTGCTCATGCTTCTCGTGCTGCTCATGCTGCTGTGCTGCTCATGCTGCTCGTGCTGCTCATGCTGCTCATGCTGCTCATGCTGCTCGTGCTGCTCGTGCTGCTCATGCTGCTCGTGCCATGCCCAAGTCATCATGCCCAAGTCATCATGCCCAAGTCATCATGCCCAAGTCATCATACCCATCGTGCTCCCCCTTCCATCCTCTTTTCATCCCCGTCCTCCCCGTCCTCCCCCGTCCTCCCCCGTCCTCCCCCGTTCATCTCCTTTGCACCTCCGTTCACCCCTGTTAACCCCCATCCCATTTCCTCCCCTCTCAGTGCATCATGGGTACTGTCCTCGCCAATGCTGCCCTCAATATGGCACCCGCCAAGCTTCATTGCCCTTCTGACAGTCAACGTTTCCCCTTTCTTTCCCCCCACCCGCCCTTGCCTCCCTGTCTCAGTGCGTCGTGGGTGCTGTCATCGCCAACGCTGCCCTCAACTTGGTAAGCTCCCTGCGATCCGCACGCAACTCCCCCTGGAAGGGGATGGGAAGGGGTTGGGAAGAGGACGGGAAGGGGATGGGAAGGGGGAGTGTTTTTCCCGCGACTTTCGCGGCTGGAAAGAGTGTCCAAGTGTTCCTGTCGTGCTGCGCGTTGAGCCCCTTTCCTTTGCCTCCTTTCATTTTCCCCCCTCGAGAGCCTTCTTCGCTGTAGTAGGCTTGAAGATATGGGCACATTAATGGTGGCAACGAGGCCAAGGATTTGCAGGCCATTGGCGGTGTAGGGAAGGGGATGGGGAAGGGGATGGGGAAGGGGATGGGGAAGGGGATGGGGAAGGGGATGGGGAAGGGGATGGGGAAGGGGATGGGGAAGGGGATGGGGAAGGGGATGGGGAAGGGGATGGGGAAGGGGATGGGGAAGGGGATGGGGAAGGGGATGGGGAAGGGGATGGGGAAGGGGATGGGGAAGGGGATGGGGAAGGGGACGGGAAGGGGACGGGAAGGGGACGGGAAGGGGTTGAAACGGGGTAAGCTGCCCTCACATGGCAAGCTGCCCTCAACATGGTTTTCTCGCTGCTCTCCTTCCCTCTTCCCCGGACCCTGCGCGCGCTGCGCCTCCACATCTGCCTCCTGGGGCTGCTGCTTCCCTCATTCTCTCCTCCCCCAACTTCCCCCATCCCCTCCTGGCAGCTTGACTTCCACGCCGCCCGGGCTCTCTGGAAGGTGGACCAGATGGACTTTGCTTTTGAGTCGACTCAAAAGGTGGACCAGATGGACTTTCTGGATGTCGGGCTGCTTCCTCGCCATCCTCTTCGGCTCGCCAGAGATCAGTCTCCTCGTTGCCATCCTCCTCTCGCTCATCAAGATCCTCCTGCGCCCGCTGGGGCCCTTCCCCTCTCCCCCACCCCCCCTTGGCAGCTTGACTTCCATGCTGCTTGGTCTCTGTGGAAAGTCGACAAGATGGATTTCCTCGTCATGTCGGGCTGCTTCCTCGCCATCCTCTTCGGCTCCCCCGAGATCGGTCTCCTCGTTGCCATCCTGCTCTCACTCATCAAGATCCTCCTGCGCTCGCTGCGCCCCCACATCCGCCTGCTCGGGCTGCTCCCCAACGCCGCCGCCACGGCCGTGAGCGTGCTGCAGTTCCCCAACAGCACCTTGTGCGAGGGCATTGTCATGCTGCGAATTGAGTCGCCGCTGTACTTCCCCGGGGCGAATTTCGTGCGGCAGCGGGTGAAGAAGCTGTGCGACGCGTACGCCAGGGGATACCAGCAGCCAGTCAAGGTGAGCGATAAAGGAGCGTGCTACAGTTGGCCAGGGTGAGAGTGTCTGCTTGGGCTGCTCCCCAATGCGTCCGCTGAGGCGGTGAGTGTGCTGCAGGTCCCCAACGCCACGCTCTGCGAGGAGTCTATTTTTTAGGCGCCTCAAAAATAGACTCCTCACGCGTGCTGCAGTTCCCCAACGCCACGCTCTGCGAGGAGATCGTGAATCGTGATGCTTGGAGTAGAGTCGCTCCTGTACTTTCCCCGGGCCGAATTCGTGCAGCCGCTGAAACTCTGGTTCAGCGGGTGAGCGGGTGAGCGGGTGAGAGGGTGAGCGGGTGGGCGGGTGAGAGGGTGAGCGGGTGAGCGGGTGAGCGGGTGAGAGGGTGAGCGGGTGAGCGGGTGGGCGGGTGAGCGGGTGAGCGGGTGATAGGGTGAGCGGGTGAGAGGGTGAGCGGGTGAGCGGGTGGGCGGGTGGGCGGGTGGGCGGGTGAGCGGGTGAGCGGGTGAGAGGGTGAGAGGGTGAGAGAGTGAGTGGGTGGGCGGGTGAGCGGGTGAGCGGGTGAGCGGGTGAGCATGTCCGTGGAACAGGTCAGACGTGCTTGGCATTGATGTGATGGCTACCGAGGCTTTGAGGGACTCGAGTGACCAAAGCTCTTGGATCTTCATTTTACAGACAAGCCCACCCCTCCCGTCCTTGTACAACTACCTCTTCCCTCCCCTGCTCCGTACCCCTCCCCATCCTCCTCCCTCCTCCATTCCGTTCAGCACTGCTCGTGGACCTGTCAGTCATGCACGGCATTGACGTGACGGCCATAGAGGATATGAGGGACCTGCCTAAGTTACTAGTACATTGATGAAGACGCACCTCCCGACCCCCTGCTTGTCTCCTTTTGGCAGCACTGCTCGTGGACCTGTCAGTCATGCACGACATTGACGTGAGAGCCATTGAGGCCGTGTGGACCTGCCTCTGTGACTCATGCCAACCCCTTTCCCGGTCACCCTCCCCGCCCCCTTTCGCTCCCTCTCTTCCTCTTTCACAGCACTGCGCGCTGGACGTGTCAGTCGTGCACAACATTGACGTCACGGCCGTCGAGGCAATGAGGGACCAACCTATGTGGTGCATTGTTATAGAGGCATCTCAGTCACTACATACTGCAATGAGGGACCATCATCTCCGTACGCTCCCTCCTCCTTGTCCCTCCCTTGGCAGCACTGCGTGTTGGACCTCTCAGTCATGCATGACATCGATGTGACGGCCATCGAGGCAATGAGGGATCTGCACCGCGACTTGACACAGACTGGCATTCAGGTGAGCTGACCTGGCATTCGGGTGTGATTAGGCTCTGCCAACTGTGGGGCTCACACCTTCCCGAGCTGGGAAAGATTGGGCAGCAGTCGCTCGCTCCATGGCTCTTATGCAATGAGCTGCCTCGAAACACAGCCCTGTCCCTTTCTCCCCCACCACACCCTCGTCGCCTTTCCCGCGTCTCACCCCTGTTTTGAGGCGCCTCAAAATAGGAGTCTAGTTTTGAGGCGCCTCAAAACTAGGTCCCATTCTCCCCCACCACACCCTCGTCGCCTTTCCCACGTCTCACCCTTGTTTTGAGGCGCCTCAAAATAGGAGTGCCAGTGCCGCCTCTCACCCTTGTCCCTTCACCCTCCAGCTATGCGTGGCCAGTGCCAGCAGGGACGTGCTCCGCTATACTTTTGACGCTCAACTCCCTGGCTTACATAGGCGAGCAGTGGCTCTTGGTCACCCCTGCTCCCTTTCATTCCCTCCCCTACTGCTGTTCCTCCCCCTCCCCCCCCCCCCATTGCAATCTCCTTGCCATGTTGCCCCTGCAGCTGTGTCTGGCCACCGTCAACACGGACGTGCTAAGGAAGATGTTAGATGCTCAGCTGCTAGCAGAGATGGGCGAGCAGTGGCTGTTTGTCACTCTGTGTTCACCCACCTCTCTCCCCGCCTCCCCGCCCCCTCGCCCCGACAATCCCTTGCAACCACTTCCCTGCAGCTGTGTCTGGCCAGCGCCAACAGGGACGTGCTGAGGAAGATGTTTGACGCCCAGCTCTTGGCTGAGATCGGGGAGCAGTGGCTCTTCGTCACTCCTGCCGATGCCGTCAAGCTGTGCCGCGCTGTGGCGCTCTCACAACCCGCTGCTAAGGAGAGTGAACAGCTGCTAACATCTGTGGAGACTTACGATATCTAAAGCGGTGGCAGCAGCAGCAGCTGTAGCAGCAGGGGGGATGGCGGAGAGCAGTGGCTACTTTTCGTGTCAAGCCAATTGAGACAAGTTTTGGCACAGCGTGGCTCTCTCGCTTTTGGTACTTATGCATGGGAGTGATATGTGTCTGTGTAATGTACGCAGTGTTAATTACTAAGTTACGTATGATTTTGTTCTACGAAATATTAACACAAAGGTAGTTTAAATACTTTTTGTGGATGGATAGGTAGTAATTTCTATACAGCAGGCGTTCTGTGACAGTATGTATTCATAGGAATCATTACCAGAGCCCAGAGGTTATGATGTACAGTGTTCCACCAAGCATTCTCTTACCCAAACAAGAAGTATGGTAGCTGAAGCTCTCATATTTTAATATAACTAGCTGTACAAGTGCTACACCTGCTAGAAGCATCATCTCCAGGGGTTTCAAACCAGACACTCGGAAACACAGCCTTTCCCATCACCAGCCATCTAGAGGGATTCAAATCGAATCAGTCCTGCGGATGCCAGTACCCGCATGCGATCTGTGGCTCGGCACCCGACTACTTATCGAGGGGCTTCAGGTCCGAGGCGATCGGGAGCACCACGGGCTTGCCATCGTCCCCCTCCACCGCCACCCCACGCGTGTACGTCACCAACGGATCCATCTCGCTCTTGCTGAACGGATCCCGCGGCACGCCCGCGCCCGCGTTCGGCGGCGCCTTGGAAATATCCGGCGGGTTGTTGATCACCACCCACCCGCCCAGCAGCCCGCCCAGGAGCAAAAATGTGAGTCCCGCGAGGAAGGGGAATCGGATGGTCAAGGGATCGACTCCCAGCTGGCCGAAAACGCCCTTCCCCGTAAGGACTTCCATCACGAGCGCGCTCGCGAAGCCGACCATCGCGAGGCGACCCACGCTGAGCTCCTGAAACTGCCCGAACCCGAACCACGTGCCTGGGCCGCCCAGCCCGAACCCAGGATTCACGGAGGTTGAACTCGGTGCGGAGGGCTCGGCGGGTGTGGAGGATTCCGTGGATTGCGCGCGAACAGACAGCCGCGTGACGACGGGAGATGATATCGATGATTGGGAAGGGGTCGACGAAACGCGGTACACTGGAAACCGAGAGCCGCTGACAAGATTTGGGCTGGAGAGAGGGCGGCTGGGGGTTGCGTTGAGGCTCTGAACTCGCAGTGCTGCGGCGCTAGCTGATGCGGTGGAAGAAGCGGCGAGAGTAGCCATTGGTGGGACGCGGAGTAGCTTCAAAGGATGGATGAAGTATTTCGAGGTGAGTGAGTCGCGAGGATTGCTCAGACGAGATGCCTACGAGCGCCACGAGGTTTCGGGAAGTCAAGTGACGAGTCTGGTGTAGATATTGTGTGTTTCATGGAGGTATGAATTTATGCATTGCTGGAAGAGCAAGGCGCTGGGCAGGAATGACGCCGATTCGAAGCGCGTGTCGGTCTGCCCACACGTCACCCTGAAAAGGCCATGGGTCACGTCGGTCAATGCTGAAGTGGCCGGTGGGCCACGCAAAGCTGTGCGATGTGGAGCAGCGAGAGCGAGCCACGCTGCACACGAAGTGCACCTGGTGAAGCGAACTCCACGTGGACACAGCATGTCGCTCGCACCGCCAAGCCCGGTTTGAGGGCGTGGGGGAATGTTTTATCGAGAGGCCGTGGTCACCAAAAATAACCACAACATACAGCTTGTACATAATTATAAGGCCTCGCATAGAACAAGCCAAGCTTCACCTTTTTATAGGCTTGAACGCAAAATGTGTTGGCTCGGTGATTCGGTGTACCTTGAAAACCAAATGTTCGTGTTAGTAGAACATGAAAAGGTTCAATACCCTACATAGACAGCTGCATTTACAACATAGCAGTCGTCATTACGATCACCAAGTGCTTCAAGTGCCACCCCGCTTGAACAGATAAGGCCACCATCCACCACTTCAACTGCAATAATCTCACCACTGGCAGCACAGTAGAATTTATGGAAGGCATGATCGCTTTTGCGTGAAATCCAAATGTCAGCTTGCATGCAAATGCTGTAAACGAGTGAAAGCTATGGTGTGAATTCAAGGAGGAAGGGTGAGGAGGAACACGAGAGGGGGCACTCACTAAAGGAAGACTACTTGGGGCACTGAAACTGAAGACCCTTGGGCACTTTCTAAAAGAACGCTCACTAGATGCAGGGGAAAACGGGGGACACTCACTGACTAGGGCACACTCACTAGGGGAAGACGGCCTTGACTTGGGCAAGATCGAGGTCCGCCTGAAGCTCCCTGGGCACTCCTAGCCGCACCTGAAGCTTCATCTGCTGCCACGACACACCTGGGATGGCACCTGACGGGTGCACGGAGGAGGGGAGGGGAAAAAATCACCTGAGGCTTCATCTGCTCCCACGACACACCTGGGATGGGATGGCACCTGATGGATGCACGGAGGAGGGGAGGGGAAAAAATCACCTGAAGCTTCATCTGCTCCCACGACACACCTGGGATGGCACCTGACTGGTGAGTGGAGGGGAGGGAAGAAAACCACCTGAAGCTTCAGGACACTACCCTCCGGAACACTGCCCTCCGGAACACTACCCTCCGGGACACTACCCTCCGGGACACTACCCCCCGGGACACTACCCGGCGGGACACTACCCTCCGGGGCACTACCCCCCGGGACACTACCCTCCGGGACACTACCCTCCGGGACAATAGCCCCAGGACACTACCCTCCGGGACAATACCCCCCAGGACACTACCCTCCGGGACGATACCCCCCGGGACACTACCCCCTGGGACACTACCCGGCGGGACACTACCCGGCGGGACACTACCTGGCAGGACACTACCCCCCACCCGGGACACTCCCCCCAGGACACTACCCCCCAAGACAGTACCCCCCGGGGCACTACCCCCCAGGACACTACCCTCCGGGACACTACCCCCCGGGACACTACTCCCCGGGACACTACCCTCCGGGTACTACTCTTTGGGACACAAAGTGAAGCACGGAGTGGTCTGGAGGCAGTGCTGGGGGTGCAGGCATGGGAGGCGGTGCCCCTGCAGTACAGGGAGAGGTGGGATCTCAAGCTCAGGTTCATCTGCAACTATGGTGCCTCGTATGTTGAGAGATTTGATTCACACATAGTGGAGGAGATCTGTGATGGGGTTGTAGGGATGGGAGGCAGTGCAGGGGGTGCAGGCATGGGAGGCGGTGCCCCTGCAGTACAGGGAGAGGCTGGACTTGGAGCTCATAGTCATCTGCAACCATGGACTCTCTGCAAGATTTCTTGTAGGTTTAAAAGCACTCCGGTACAGATGAGTTCGGTTCAGTTCGGTTGACCACTCTACATTGGAAGAAGCTCCTCGTGCAACCCAGTTTTCTCACCAATCTCGCCTTCCTGGCTCTAGCACCGGGCTGGAGCACTGGGCTGTAGCATTGGGCTGTAGCATCGGGCTGTAGCACCGGGCTCTACCCCCTCCGGACACCACTTCCCCAGACACCGTCCCCCGGGACAGTGGAGTGATGGGAAAGAAGGAAGGCGATTGGGACGAGTGGAGGTGTGAGGGGAGGAGGAATGCGTTTCATGTCGACACTATACGCTTTGGTATCACTTCTGCATCTCACCTCGATGCCTGATGGTGACGTTGACATGCCGTAAAAGGAAGACCTGGCAAGAGGCAAGCTCTACCTGTGCTAACGGAGTGAGGCTCACCCTACCCAAGACACACCCTTACCTGTGCGGAAGGCGGAGATGGAGTTGGAAGAGATGGCGTTTCTACGGAACGACAGAAGGGGAGGAGAGACCCTACCAGAGCAAGACCGGAAAGGACAGATAACGTTGGAGAACGTAAGACACACCCTTACCTGTGCGGAAGGCCGGGATGGAGTTGGAAGTGATGGCGTTTCGACACGCCTTTATTGCTGCCTTCGTCACATTCTGCCTGCCACGTGGCATGAGGGGATTGGAAGGACAGGAGACTAAGGAATCAGCTGTGAATATAGTGGAAAGTTCCAGGAAGCAGTACCCGCACTATAATGGACCTCCACAATAATGGTTAACAGCAAGCCATGGCTGCATTGCATTGGTCATGATAATGGCAAGCGATAACGAAAGGTAACTCGCTCGCATCCGTGCTGGTCGGTGCCACGTGTTAACATCTACCGAGACGCACCCGTGCTGGTCGTATCCCACGCCCATCTCCACGAAAAGCACTTTCATGCGACTCCCCTCAGTTGCCTGCGACGCCCCTGCGACGTCGCTCGCCTCCGCCATGGCAGTAATTCGTCGCCGAGAAACGGACGAATCCCTACGCGATACCTCGGGCGATAGTCGCACAGGCGCTCGCAGAGGCGCAGAGAGCGGAGCGGAGACTAGCAGATGCCTCGACGCATCAACGGAGACGCTAGATTTGAGGTTCCTTATAACTGGACCGTGTGGATTCACGGCGAACCTATGGCTACTGGTGAGAGGAGAGAGGGAGATGCGATGGGACACAGCGAGGAGAGGCATTGCCTGGTCGCCTGATCGCCTGATGACCTGATCGCCTGATGACGTGATCGCCTGACCGCCTGGGTGCCTGACTGTCTGCACGCGACAACTAGACCGACTGGCTTGGTTGATTCGAGTTCGACGACTAACAGCTTCCGATCGCTTGCTTAGCGACTGTTGAACCGAATCAAAGACAGCTCCTCAGACCGGGAAGAATGCGCAGCGCGGGGCTAACGCGTGCAGCGTAGCCGCGAGATTTAGGATGCTCGGAAATCTTAAATTCTTGGGAATGCCGACATCCGCGGTGGTCATTCACATTTCAGAAATCAATTGGATTGGATTCCTGTGGTGCGTTTTCGGAGATTTTCACTGTACAGTAAATGAGCAGAATCGATTCACTGTAGCTCCTGTATCTTAAATGAAGCATTCACAGGCGAGAACATGCAAAGCAAATCAGCACTCCTCGCTTTTGCTCTATTCACTTTCTCCTCAGCGGTAGGCTGGTAGCGCTACCTGTTAGCCGCAACTACTCTCTTTTTGCCTTCCCAATCCTCACACTCTCGGCTATCGCGCCACTCGTCGCTGCCGCGTTTCCCGCCGCTCTTCGTCGCCCGCTTCTGCTTGCCACAATCGAGAGCGCTGCTGCTGTCGATTGCTTCCTGTCCAGAACTCAACCAAACGCACGACGCCTCGTCTCGTTTCCGCTTCGCCGTTCCGCGGTAGCTCCGCAGCGCTGCTTCCGTAGCTCCGCCGTCGCCCCTCTCCTTCGCGCCTCGCCTCTTTTCCCGCGATGATATCGGATAGGATCTCCAAGGCTCTACTCATAGCGTGCGGAGTAGGCACAATAGCGGGTATGTCGATAACGGGTTCGCACGCCAACGCATATACTTCTCTCCGTTGTTGTTAGCTGTTTTCCTCGCGCCAAGAACGTGCCCTTGCTTGCGAGAAAAGCATCGATGTCTGCGAGCGCCCTTCATCTTTGCACTCAGCCAGCCGTTCCTTGCCCCGTCTATTCCGTACCTCCACTGCACATTCTTACCCACTCCTCATGCGCTCTCCGATCCTCCTTTCGCCCCCACTTCCCCTCTTCCTCCCCTGCACCCCACTTCCCCCTTCCTCCCTGTGTCCCCTGCCGTTCCCTCTCGTCCCTTCACACTTCCCCATTCCTCCTTCCTCCCCACTCCCCCCTCACCCTAGTCCTTCATCTGCTTCTCTCCCCCCCCCCCCCCCTTCCCCCCCCCCCCTTTCCACATCCACCATCATCGATTTCCTTCCATTACTCCTCCCCTTCACCATTCGTCTCACCCTTCTTTCCCCACCCTCCTCTGCCCCTTCTCTGCTCGACGCTCACCAGGCCTGCTGCTGACATCAGCGGATCGCAAGGCCCAATCGCGAGCGCAGGGGCCAGTGTCGGTTGAAGAGAAGCTGAAGCAACTCGATAAGAGCATGTCCCGATAGCGTGTGCTGAGCAACTCGATAAGAGCATGTTCCGAAGGGGGGTGGGGATAGGGGGGCGGGTGGGGCTGTCAGAAGTAGATTTGGTGGTTAGCAGGTTAGCACCTCCATAAGAGCATGTCCCAATAGGGGTGTATCTCAGAAGCAGTTTTTCTCAAGTGGGGTAGAAGTAGCTCTGGCGCTTTAGCTCGGGGAGTTGCAGCATGACTGCTAGAGGCACACACAGGGAGAGTAACCTCCTGCCAACCTGAGTGAGTGACGGTGCTTTGGATTGGATGGTGGCGCAATAATGTGGCCAGGCCACTGTGTCGGAGATCCGCTGGGGTTCCCCTTGAGATCCTCGGGGAAGGGCCACAGGTGCAGAGCCTGGGGGGTTATGGGCGCACTTACCCGCTACGGAACACGCCCTTTTAACTTAGAGGTTGATGACAGAGTTCTGACACACTGAACAATAAACCCCAAGCCTAGTGGAAGTCTTTCCACAGAATCCCACCCTCAATCAACAATTTAACTCCTGAAAGGTGATCAACACCGGATCTCAGCATGTTGTGCTTGTGTGTGCCATGCCCATAGGCAGTATTGAATTAGTAGTCAAATGCCTAATTATTATGATTCCTTGTCATGATATTTAGTTGCAATGAAAGAGAGTGACCTTTCCTTACGGTATGTTATTTCGAAGAGGCTTTTATCCTGACCATTCAACCTCCTCCAACATCCCAACCCAAACCCAGCCCACAATCCCTCTCCGCCCGTCTCACCAACTACTTTTCGTGTGTGCTACCTCGTCGCATTCCATCGACGGGCGAGCCGCGCGCATTCCGGTCTGATATCTTGATCGGACGGTCCAGATTTCGCCGGCAATGGCGGGCGGTTTGGCAGCGCTAGCGGAGGTATCGCCGGCGAAAGATAAGATCGTATTGGATGAGGAGGATTGGAACGCGATTCTCGACGCCATGCGACCGTACGAGAACCGTACGGCCGATGACACGACGAACCGTACGCCGAGTCGTACGCCGAATGGTACGACGGCGGCAAAGAGACGGAACGGCGCGACGAGTGTCATCTGCAAAGCGACTAGCGCCGTTACGAAGACACTCGGATCGATCACTGTAACGAAAACGAGCAGTACAACGAAGAAGAGCGTTATAACGAGGACAACTGAGGCAGAGGCGGCGTCCCCGCCGTCTACCAAGCGCCGAAAGCTCGATAGCGCAGGCAAGGATAAGCCAAGGAGCGCCAAGGGTGACGGAGAGGAGAGGGAAGCAGAATCAGCGGCAGCGAGAATAAGCAATGAGGAGGAGAAGAAGCAGGGAGAGAAAATCAAGCAGAGCGTGTGGTGGTCGTTTAAGCTGCCGGAAGTGAGTCTCAAGGACCCCAGTAAGCCGCTAATGAGTGAGCTTGTAACGCGGAAAATCGGCGGAGGTTCAGGGGCGAAGGGCGGGGGTTTTGGGGAGAAGAACGGGCGCTTGAGGGGGAGGGGGGGAATGCGGCGCATGCGGCACATGCGGCGGTTAGGTTTAGCGCGGAGGAAACGGAAGGGATGATGAACGGGTATGCAGCAGAGGAAGCAGGGATTGCCGCGGAGGGAGGGGGGGCAGGAATGGCATCCTCTGTAGCGGCACCGTCTGTAGCGGCACCGTCTGTAGCGGCGACACACAAGAGGAAACTGCCGACTTGGGCAGATGCCAAGGGGGCGTTGGACGTGCTGAAGAAGGGCGCGGATCAGGTGGTGGTGAACAATAGTGTCAAGGCGGGAGACTTCTCGTTCCGAAGAGACGTGCACGGTGCGCTGGGTGGTTAGTGTGTTGGCTGTTCAGTGTGTTGACTGACAGGGTAGGGTTTCAGGTTTAGGGTGCAACACGGGCGTGATCAGGTGGTTGTGAACAATAGCATGAGCTGGATACTTCTCATTCCGAAGAGACGTGCAAGGTGCGTGGGGTGGTTAGGGTGCTGGCTAAGGGGGTTGGGGTTTGGGTTTTGGGAGCAACAATCGCCGGCCAGATGGTTGTGAACAATCGCCGGGCTCGAGACTTGTTGTTTCGGGGAGACGTGCGACGTGCGCTGGATGGTGGATGGGTTCAGGGAGTGAAATGTTGAACAAGTGCATTGTTGTGCACAGGGGGATCGCGTTGTTGCCAAGGATTTCAAAGCTTCACACTTGTCCTTCCGAAGTGACGTCCCTGCTGCACTGACGATTGATTAATACAAACAAGAGGTGCGTGAGGCTGAGCACCAGGTGGTAGAAGGTGCGCAAGGAGAGGGGGTCTCAAAACCATTGTTACAGGGTGAGAGAAGGGGAGGGGTGGTGAAGCAAGGGAATCACAGAAAAAAAATCTCTCCAATCTCCATACCTAGTATTTTAGTTGGCAGAAAACATACCCTTGAAAGTGAAAGGTCTTGGGGTTCAAATCCGCCCACCGCCCACCGCCCACGCCCGCGTGCTTGTCGGGTGTTGTAACCTCCCTTTAATGCCCTTCCCACACACTCTTCTCTCCCTCCCCCTGTGCAGCAACATCGCTCTTCCCCTCCATCCCAGTGCTGGCCCACGACATCTACGCTCGCTTCCCTGGGAAGGTGGTATACCGCAGGGAGCGCAAGGGGGTGGAGGCAGCCGCGAGGGAGCTGTACTCGGCTATCAAAAACGGTAAGCTATGGGTTGGTATGCCTGTATTGAGCGGGGAGGAGTTCGGGTTGTAAACTGCAGGGAACGCAAGGGAGTGGAGGTAGCAGCGAGCAAGCTGTACTCAGCTATCAAGAACGGTAGGCTAGAGGGAGGATGGGCATGGTAGGCTGGACTATAGGGCTCTAGATGCTGTGTGTTGTGCTGTGGATCGCAGGGAGCGCAAACGGTGGAGGCAGCCTCGAGGGAGCTGTACTCAGCTATCAAGAATGGTTGGCTCGAAGTATTCACGGAACCGTTAGCGTGTAGGGTCTCGGGGTTTGGTGCGAGCTGTTTCGCGCAGGGACTGCCGTGCCGCGGAGGCTGCAGCAAGACAGCTGTACTCTGAGTTGACTCTTCTCTCTCCCTATCCTCTCCTCCCCTCCCCCCCCCCCTTACACATTTTGACCACCAAGAGCGGCAGGGTCAGAATGACTGGGGCGCTGGCCTGCGAGTGGCTTTAGT